AACTAATGATTTATTTAGACGTATTTCAACTTGATGAAATCAAATTTACAATATGGTTTTAAAAATAATATTTTATTTTTGTTTTTTTTATTTTGAATGTTTGAAAGATATCTCACAATCTAAGAGAAAAATAATTGACATATAAAAGTACATTTGAATGATTTTAAATTGATATGAAATGATAAGTAAAGGCTTAAGTCAATCAGAATTAACTCTCAAAAGATACTGACAAGGAATGTGATGTACTCATACACGATAAAGAAAATGAAAAATGATGAAGTTGAACCTTCAACTCAATATTTGAGAGTACCTACGGATACAATTTTGATCATACATTTTGGTATGACAATAATTCTACTATTATATCATAAAAATAAGGCAAACATTAAATAAGTAAATAATTAAACTGAAATAAGAAAGGTTAATTTAAATTAAAAGCTTATAGTTCAAGAGATTAATATAATACATTTCTTTTGGTCATTCATGCATAACATTCGCATATTGCTTTAATGCATGATAAAACTGTAATTGCTCACTAAGATGTGAAAACTTACTATTGAATTTAATGCTTCTTTCAGAAAAAACTGTAGCTCAATGTGTGAATAGATGAATTTAGTTTATAGAATGATCACTATTGCTGATAGTTATTATGATTAAACTTTCTTTGTAATGTTTTCTTCTAGATAGCGATACTCTGTGTAGCTAGCTTAAGCTATTGTTTACAGAATTTCTTGTTATTTATGAATTTTTTGATTTGTGCAATTTATTTTGTGGTTTCTTAGTAGCTTTTTTATATATATTGAAATTTCTGAGAATATGCGAAAGGTAAATTGAATGTTAATACCGTCCTATTGTAGTTCGTATTATGGATAATTCTGAGCAATTAGGTCATGGCGTTGGTGGTTTGAGTCCCGTGGTGCAGGCCCTGGCGTGCGAATGATCTAGCTCATTGGTGCGGCCTCTAGCGTAAGTCCGTCGGATCGGAGGTTCGAATCTCGTGGTGCGGGCTCTTCGAATCAGAAGCAAGCACACCAGGATTTTCAACACTTTAGGAGAATCAATATATGGTGCCCATTGGACCAAATATCGATTTCACCTTTTAATATATATATATATATATGGCGTCGGTGGCGAGCTTCTCTAAGCGAAACCCTCGTTTAAATTCTTCGGCTTTCAATCCGTGCTCGATAACGACGAAGTTCTCGTACTCGACGACAAAGGACTTGGCGCTCATCAATCTTCTCTGCGATTGTCGTCTCCTCCTTCGTGCCCAACAACAAAGGGCTTTGGCGTCTTCCAGCTTCTACGGTTTCTTCGTCTCCACCTTCGTGTCTTCTACGCGGCTTTCCTCGTGGAGCTGCGGTTTTTGCTGCTCTCCTCGTCAATCTGAGACTGTCGGTTTCTCCATCTGCGGTTCATGTGCGCAGCTTCGCCCTGACATCTTCAGCTCGTTGTTTTTGCCCTCTGCCCGACTTGGCAGGGCTTGTCGTTGTGATAGAGCTTGCTTCTTCTTTGGTGGAACCTAACAAAGCCTCATTTGCCCACGTGGTGGGTAATCCTCAGGGGAAGACGACGGTTGTCTTCCCCTCAAGTTATAAGGAGTACCGTGATGGTACCGGTGACTGCCCCTTTATTAAGAATGCAAGCAAAAAAAGTGGGAAAGCAATAATTTTTTTCTCTGAAGTAGAAATTTCAGCCCTAACTGACAAACTCAAGTTTGTTCTTATTGAAAAATTTCATTAGGGACACCCACCTATGAAAGTTATCAGGAAAAGTTTTGATGATCTCAAATTAGCAGGAAAGTGGAAGGTGGAGCTCATGGATGAGAGACATGTATTGATGTTGCTAAACCAATGAAGCTACTCAAGTGGTCTCCAAATTTTAACCCCAATGATGAATCTTCTACTGTACTGGTATGGTTTAGTCTACCTGGTCTCGAGCTTCACTTTTTTCATCATCAAGTTTTTTAATCCATTGGTGTCATACTTGCAGACCCTATGAAGCTATATCTACCCACTTTGAACCTTACTAGACCTTTTGTAGCCAGAATACTTGTGAAAAGAGATATTACTTTACTTGATGTTACTGAAGTCTGGTTGGGCACAACTCATAATGGATATTGGCAACAAATAATCATGGAGCATAAACCTCATTGTTCTCATTGCATGATGTTTGGGCATACCATTGATAAATGTCATAAGCTTCATGCTAATTTAAAATCTAAAGATCAAGGGAATAAGGATGGATCTAAGGATATTTTTGTTCCACCTGGAGAAAAAACTACCACAGGACAAGATTTGGTGTCTGATTCTATTGCCCCCGTGGACCCTCCCCCTGAAAATATTGGTTCTACGATCGAAGAGAAGCTCGATGATCGTGCTGAGCAACCTACACTTTCAAACAGTACTGAAGGTCTCCTACCTACACGGACTGATAATCAGGAGAACCTTGCAGCTCCCCATCTTCAGGAAGTATCACGGGTAGAGGTGACAACTCTTACCTCACATACATTTGAACATTTTGTGGGCACAACTACTAGCAATCTTTCTACTGCAGCAGTACCACATCATCCAAATGAGCAACAATCTTCGGATGAGGAATGACAGGTGTACACTTCCAGGAGGAAGAAGAAGAAGAATGGAGATCTACTTGAGCTAAGGAATCTAATTGATGATATTTTGGTTACTTCGGGCAATAGTACGCATCTCACCAATTTGTTAGTTGATTCGCTTCAGAGAAATAGAGGCAGAGGGAGAACTAAATTGGGTCAACCTGATTGATCTTATATCTATCATCTTCTTTTGGGTTTTTAATTTTTTCTTTTCTTTTTGTGTGTTGTACCGTGTGGGTTGGCTGTCTATTTGGGCCCACTCATACAAGCTATATGTACCATTTTCTCTTTAATATAATTGTCATTGGGCTTTTTAATATATACATACATATATATATATATATATATATATATATATATATGTATGTAATATATATATAGATACATATATATATATATATATATACATATGTGTGTATTTATATAAATTAAAGAGTTTCAATATCAATAACTTTTTATTTATGTGCACAGGTATCTTAAAATCCCCAGCTAGTATTATAACAGGATGGAATCCATTATAGCCAACATACACTTACAAGAAATTTATGTGAATAGTATCATTCATATGTTAATTTCATTCAATTTAATATAAAATATATATATTAAATAATGTAAAATAATAAATATTGCTAAAAACATATAACATTCATCACGGTATGACAAGCAAATAAAAAAATATATAACACCACAAAATTGTGCAAACAACTTGCCATAAATATCAATAAAATTGTTTAGAAGAAAAAAAAAAGGCATCAAAGCTTAAAATTAAGAGTAGCAACTTCGATATTGTCTTGTTTCTTGATTTATGCACTTTAGACCTTGTCTCCACTAATTAGATGCCTATAAAAAATAAATGTATATACATATTACTACAATTAATTATGTTATTCAATTATGGTAAATAAATCATTATTTGATTATTTATATTAATTTTATATAATTCTTAAAATTACATTACTTAAGCAATAAAATTTCATCGCTTTACTTTAAAAAAGTCCTAATTAACTTTATTTCATATTAGATTTGTAAATATTTTATTCATTATATACACATTTATCAATAATTTGTCATATTATTTTCTAATATTTTTATTTTCTGAAATATAAAGATCTATTCCTACAGTTACTTAAATATTTAAAAGCTATAACTTAATATTCTAAATAAATCACTAATTTAATAGTTTCATATTTACAGATAGCATAATGTATCATCATAACTCAACTTATTTAATTTAATTCTATTATTCTTTTTATTCAATCAATAATTATAAAAAATTTTAATATCAATGGTTTAATTTTAATTTGACTTTCCGATTATTTATATGTTTAATCCTGCAAATTAAAAATGAAATAACTGCTCTGTACATATCTATCACACGTCATAAGAAAAAATCATAGATTTGTTTATATTTCATACTTATTTGTTTAAAGTCTAACATTTCATGAATTATAACTTAAGTAGACTTATTTAATATTTGATAAAACTAAGAAAATACTTATTTAATTCATTTTATATATAAATTACTTAAAACTAGAATTACACAAGCTTGATTCGGCCTCCCACACTCTTAATCAAATTTATTGGCTCCAAATCTAATCAAGCTCACAAGTTGACTCCTCATCCTTACGCGATGGAGCCAGAATTTCTTCTATTCTAGCCAAGGCTTTGATTCACCCTAGACCGCAAAAAGAGTTGCTTGAGAAATCCCTCTCGTTCTGTTTGTCCTTTGCACAAATGTTGCTCTCCTTCATCGTGTTCATCCGACACAACAGGAGTTCATGCTCTCAATTTGATTCTACTTTCGGCTTTGCTTGGGATTGCCTATTGATGCTCGACACAGTCAATCTCCTCTTTTGTTCAAAGGTAGCTCGCATGCGTCGATGTATCGGGTGCTACTTTTGACATTACAGTCGATCCTTATGTTTCTTCCTCCTACAAGGCATTCGAGAAAGTTCTTCATCTCAGAGTACGTCTTATTTTATCACGCATAGCTTCCCTCTCTTGCCGATTGAACTCCTAGTAGTGTCTCCTTCCAAATTTCTCTATCTTGCTCCGCCTTCACCTCCATCTTCCTCTCTCTGCCAATTTAATTAGTGAGTCCCCACGGTTTGCTTCAAAATGCTAGAGTCTTAGCAAGTTAAAATGGAACGTTACAGTTTGCAAAACCAACATTTATTGTAAATAATCCAAACTCATTATGACACTGTTTGACAAAAAAAATTATATAATTATGTATACTCAAGTTTTTAATCTTCTCTTAAAAAGAAACATTGCATATTTATATAACCATCCATAAAATGGTTGTTCATGTGCCAGCAGAGTCAAAATCGAGATCATATTTACAGATGCATCACAAATCTACAAACGGATTGTTGATAATTGAACTTACAGTTATGGACACACCACCAAGCCCACGATGGTTTTCAACAACAACATTCCAACCATGTTTTGCCATCTTGTAAGCTATATGCTTTACATACTGCACAAAAAAGAGCCGTAAAACCTTCCACATGATTTTCTAAGATTTTGATATGTGATGTCAGCAAGTTAAGAAAATTCAATGCATAAAAGTTAAAATATGAATGAACATTCAACCAGGCACTAAACTGTGAAAGAACCATCAAAAGGCAGCAGTAATTTAAGCAGTAATTGATGTCAACGAGGTGAAAACTCAACAACTAAAACAAAATAAATAAGAATAAACAAGGTAACGCAATTCCTCACATGTAACATTAGCCAAAATTCTGACTTCATACAAATTTGATAGCAGATCAATTCATGATATTTTGAGTCAAACAAATGTGCTGCGCAAACATCCCTTTGAATATTCTACTTAATCCATGGACATTTAGAAGAGCTAATAACACCTTCGCAATCAGTAGACAAAAAAAAAAGTAATAAACTAGTCAAGCAAAAAACCCTATGGAAGGAGCAGAAATCTAGGACTTCTACTGCTAAAATAAAATTAAGTATGAACTTAAAATCAAGGAAACTTAAAAGCATTCAGAATAAGAATATGGACAAGACTTCATGGGTTACATTATATGCCATTCTAACCATGGGTGAAACAACCCAAGTAAAGCATACAGGGCAGTCTCCTAATAGGTCACCTAAGCGTGTATTATGCCACTTATACCTCTTGCAAGTGTACAAAATTAAACCATCTCCTCAGACACAAAATTTTGTGATATGAAAAGTCAAATACTTGTTGCTCCTATTCACAGTTTCAAGGTTAAACTTAAGTCTTACAACTTGTTTCCATCATTATCATACCAATCTCTAAAACAACAGCAAAAACAACAACAACAAAGCCTTAATCCCACTACGTGGCATCGGCTACATGAATCCTTTTTCTCCATTGCATCCTATTTAGTGTCATATTTTCATTTAGTTCTAATAAATTAAGATCATTTTTTATACAATAAGCCCAAGTCTTCCTAGGACGACCTCTGTCTTTCTTAACATAAGTCAAATCTAAAACATCAACTCTCCTAATCGGATCATCAGATGGTCGATGTTTAATGTGACCAAACCTTCTAAGCTAAGATGACTTTCTGATGACTTTCTCTAATTTTGTCCGTCACAGGAGCTACACCAACCCTATCACGGATATAATCAATTCGCATTTTTTCTCTATGTGCAAAGCCACTCATCCACCTAATCATTCTCATCTCAACAATACTTAACTTCGTATTATGCTTCTCTTTTAACAACCAACATTCAGCGCCATAGAGCATTGCAAGTCTCACCACCGTCTTATAAAATTTTTCTTTCAGTCTAAGCGGTACTTTTCTATCACACAAAAAGCCCGAATTATTCCTCCACTTCAACCAACCAACTTGAATTTTACTATTAACATCCCCATCTATATCGCCATCGCTTTGAACAACAGATCCAAGATATCTAAATGGTTCACACTTTTAATAATTTGATCACCCAAAGTTACACTTCTGTCACTAGAGTTACTGCTACTAAAATTAAATTTCATGTATTCAGTTTTAGTTCTACTCAAATGAAGTCCTTTAGACTCTAATGTTGACCTCCATAATTCAAGTTTTTTCTGGGCTTTTTTCTTTCTTCTTATTCGCGAGAAGGATATCATCAGCAAAAAGCATACACCAAGGTACATCCTCCTGTAAATGTCCAGTAAGACCATCCATAACTAAAGCAATCCCTGATGTAGTCCAACAAAAATAAAAAAATATTTGGACAATCCTCCTTCAGTTTGAACACAAGCAACAGCTATCGTATAGTTCGAACACAACAAACAAAAAGATATCATACCAATCTCTGATGGAAAAGGATCTGAGTAATCCACGCATCATAGTAAAAATCTTCCAAAATTAGCAAAAATGGTCAGGCTGATGTGGTACATAAAATTATTCCAATGACGCCTTGAAACCAAGGAACTTACTTTGCAGCAGCATCTGAGGTTCTCTGTCTGTGGTTCTAAAATTCGTTTATGCAGTTTCTGCAGCTTTTCTATTCTTATTTGTAATACATGTCGTTACTATTCATTCTGGGTGATTCTTGCATAACCTCATTTCATGACTAGTGCAGCTTTGTGTAATACATGTCGTGGTAGTAGTTGTTCAGTCAGCAGTGTGTCACGCTCCGCTATATTCAAGAAATTGGCAAGGCAAGCATAGGGCGGAAGATTCTAGAGAATGTTGGTATGTAAGGAGCCATCCAGGAGGTTCTAGAAGATTCCACCCAATTCTAGAGAAAATAAAAAAGAAATGCTCCAAGGAGAAATTCAGAAGAACCTAGAATGTTCCAGAGCTATGTGTGTGATAAGAGAGAAATGTATAACTCTCTAAAAACTATAATAATTTAATGTGTCCTAGAATATTCCATTAGGCTTAGAGGGGGCTATAAATAGGAGTCCCTCCCCTCATTTGTAATCAACCAAGCATTGAATCAAAACTTTCAAGTATTCAAGTGTGAAGTATTCATTTCTCTATACTCTTCTTCTTAAGAGTGTTTGGTGCTCAAAGATCCAGCGTTGCAAGGGGTAGACTGATTTAGTGCTAATAAAAAACACTAAAGCCGCACGGGTGATTTAAATAAAGTTAGTCTGTGACAGTTGGTATCAGAAACTGGGTTCGAAGGAATGGAAAAAAGCATTAAAGAGCACGTGATGAAGTTGGAAGCCACTAATGTGGAGTCATCTCAAGGGTCAGATCGCCGGGGGCAAAGAAATCCCGTTGCACCCAAGCCACATGGGAAGTCCAAGGAGATCATGCTTGGCTTAGATTCGCGCCTTGCTTAGATGGAGTTGCGCCTTGCTCGGATGGAAGAGGCAATGAATGGCATGGAGGGTCAAGTAGAGGATCTTGACCAAAAGGCTGATGGACTCGAGGAGGGCATCACAATCCATTCGACGATCAAAGATATGATGCTCCAACTTGAGGAGACCCTAATGGGTCATATGGCTGTTGACCTCGTTTTTGTGAGGTCTTGTCTTCTCCTCCTTAGAGCCTAGATTCTAGCTCTAGAAATTCCTATGGACCATCTTAGAAAACTAGAATTGAGACTCACCTTTCTAGAAATTCCAGCCAATTCCTATTTTCCTTTGATGTCTAGCATCTTTGGCACAAGACCATCGTCTTATGAACGAGCGGTTATGGGCTATTTTGCGAAGATTCAAGGAAAATGTTCCAAATAGGACTTCAAGCCTTAGGAAAACATTCG